GGCAATGGCTGTGCGGCTTCACTCCGTGAAAGTAGCAATCAGTTCGCAGCACCGCGCCGCTCACCCCACTTCACTCCGGAACCCCAAAATGGGGTTCCCTGTGAGTAGGGGAGGCGCTCCTGGTGCCCTGCCGAACCCCACGTTCCCAGGCTTCCTCCGCCTGGGATTTCTAGTGGGTCCCCACCTTCGCCGGGGCGGGAAGACCCAGTTTCCACGGAGCCAGTTCCTCCAGTCGGAGGAACTCCGCCATTCGCCGATGGCGCTAACCCGGAAGTCGACTATGTGTCAATTTTGTACTCCTTTGGCTGGCGAGGGCCCTTGACAGTAGCCAGCGATAGCCTTATCCTCCATGAATTTGCCCAGTCCCCTTATAAAGCCATCCGAGTTGGTAGCTATCAATAACTGTTGTGGGAATAAAGGTCACAGTTTAACTATGTGCTGTGTGTAGAAGTCCCTCATTTTGCCTGTCATGAATCTCTCCATATTCAGCTTCAGTGGATCTCTCAGTTGCGCTCTTGTGTTACAAGAGAGGAAGAAAACCATCTCTCTATTGAACTTTTTTCACACAATGCATAATTTTATATACAGTACCTCTAAACCACTCGCTAAAGTAAAATGTTCCAAACACTGTAACTTTTCTTCACAGGGGAGTTGCTCCTTGCCCTTGATCATTTGGGTTGCCCTCTTCCTGCTAAGATCCCCACCTCTCACAACAAGTATTTCTGCAAGCTCATGTTTAAATGCCATCAGCAGAAACGGTTCTTTGCCTTTGCGTGAGTGACCAGAAGTGAGGATAGGTTTGTCTTACAAATGAGTTGTGGTTCATTTGCTTATGCAGAGTGTGCAAGTGTGATGAGAGTCCCCCTGTTTTTCCCATATATATATATATATATATACACACACACCCCGCCCATCCGGCTGGGTTTACCCAGCCCATCTAGGCAGCTCCAAACAGATTAAAAACAGAATAAAACATCAAACATTAAAAACTTCCCTAAACAGGGCTGCCGCCTTCAGATGTCTTCTAAGGATAGTTGTTTATTTCCTTGACATCTGATGGGAGGGTATTCCACAGGTCAGGCACCACTACTGAGAAGGCCCTCTGCCTGGTTCCCTGTAGCCTCACTTCTTGCAGTGAGGGAACCACCAGAAGGCCCTCGGAGCTGGACCTCAGTTTCTGGGCAGAACGATGGAGGTGGAAAACACAAGGGCAGACTAGGACCAGCTTGAGAAGGTTTGATCTTCTGCCTCCCCAACTCAGTAGGAAACATCAGGCAGCTAGGACTTGGCCATGTTTTGCAACTACAGGAAGTCTTTAAGGGAGAGGAGACTTTAAAGCTAAGCTATGCATCCACGTTCTGAGGCAGAAATACCCTAAGCAGTCTCAAAACGGCTAACATTCTCTTTTCCCTTCCTCCCCCACAACAAACACTCTGTGAGGTGAGTGGGGCTAAGAGACTTCTGAGAAGCGTGACTAGCCCAAGGTCACCCAGCAGCTGCATGTGGAGGAGCGGAGACACGAACCCGGTTCACCAGATTACGAGTCCACCGCTCTTAACCACTACACCACACTGAGAACAGGATGTTGGGCGAGACGTGCCCCTTTGGGTCTGATCCAGCAGGCTCTTCTTGTGTTCTTAAGAAATGGAGAGGTGCTTCTTCCCAAAGGGAACACAAGACCTGCCATTTGTTCAAATAAATGAGGATTGCCACATTAGTCACATGTGGAGATAGTAGGAATGAATCATCCCTGCATATTTCAATGGGGGCTGAAAGAAGATGCTGAGGAAAGGACTTTGTAAGGAGATAGGGAGGAATCAGTACAGGTCTGTAAAAATTGTACTGAAGACCATGAGAATATCTTGCACACAGAAAACCACACTAGCAAGGACCTGTTTGCATTTCTTAGGCACTGCTGGACAGAAAGCCAAATCTTAAGACATTTGCTTCTACTTGGGCAAACAACCAGGCCTGCCTGTAGCCTGGCCCTGGCAGCTTGTCAAAGCAGCAGAACTGCCCTCTGTGCACAGCTGGGACTGCTTCCTAGTTCTGCTGGAAGGCAGCCAGACCACCTGCTGCTGCTGCAGGAAAGGTGCATAAAGATCTAAGGTCTGGCATGGCGACACACTTCTCTATTCCACCAGAGATGATGCCAAGGGCTACAGAGGAGCTCTGGCTGACCCAGCACCAGTAGCCTGGTTCATCCAAGGTTGGTCCCATTCTGGCACACTCATTTCTGTAGCTCAAACTCAAGCTAATGTTGTTTCAAGCAGCTCCCTTCAAGGAAGGCATCCCAAAAGGGGGGCAGGAGGGGAGAAGCAATTTCCCACCCAAAGAACCCCAGCAGCTGGAAATGAGTGTCCTGCCCTTTCTTTTGAGCAACAGCCACTTTCTTCTGTCACCTTGTGACTGCAGTTATTTTGGCATCTGCTGTGCTCTGTGCATCATGACAAATAAAGCACATTGGGGTTAGGTGTGCCAAGCTTTTAATGAGTGAGGTGCAAGTTGGCACTGGTGCCCTGCCTTGCAAATTAGCATCACAAAAGTATAACCGGATCGCAAAACATTTTATTCAAGTTGTTTACCCAGGCATTCCTTTGGTCACTTATTATTAGCACGTCAAAGGAACCAGGTCTCTTTCTGTTTACACATGCTTCCGAGCTGGTTGCCTAGAGAAGATTCTTACTCACCACAGATGATCAGGCAAGAGATGGTTTGTAAGTCTGGCTCCACCTCCTTGACAATGCCTGCTCATAGCACAACCTCCAACACAACCTCCAAGCTAGATACACCAAAGGCCATCCAGTTCAACATATCCAGTTCATACCAGAAACAAGCCAGTTTCTTTGAAACAAGAAGAAATTGCTGAGCCATTTGTAAATGTGTCCACCTATACAATGCTCTATACTCATAGCTGAAAGCATTTCTCTATACTCATAGCTGAAAGCATTTCTCTGGGAATCATAGAATCATAGAGTTGGAAGAGACCACAAGGGCCATCGAGTCCAACCCCCTGCCAAGCAGGAAACACCATCAGAGCACTCCTGACATATGGTTGTCAAGCCTCTGCTTAAAGACCTCCAAAGAAGGAGACTCCACCACACTCCTTGGCAGCAAATTCCACTGTCGAACAGCTCTTACTGTCAGGAAGTTCTTCCTAATGTTTAGGTGGAATCTTCTTTCTTGTAGTTTGGATCCATTACTCCGTGTCCGCTTCTCTGGAGCAGCAGAAAACAACCTTTCTCCCTCCTCTATGTGACATCCTTTTATATATTTGAACATGGCTATCATATCACCCCTTAACCTCCTCTTCTCCAGGCTAAACATGCCCAGCTCCCTTAGCCGTTCCTCATAAGGCATCGTTTCCAGGCCTTTGACCATTTTGGTTGCCCTCCTCTGGACACGTTCCAGTTTGTCAGTGTCCTTCTGGGAAAGGCCTTCCAAAACTCTCATTTTATGTTCACTTCATTATTTTGAAGTGAAAAAAAGTAATGTCAACACTGCTAGCAACAGCTTTCCAGAGATTCTGGAAGAGAGGGAGTGGGGTGAATGACTTTTCTTTCTTTTTTTTAAGCAACCCTTTAACCACAGGTTAAAGGTTGACAGGAACCCAACAGCTGTAGCTCCTATCCCAAACACCAGCAATTTTAAACCAAGAAGGCCTGCCCTGCAGATTTATATATTTTGAAAGTGTTCACCTTCCGTTCTCACTGACCAGGCAAACTCTCCCATCTTTCAAACCCTGTGACTGTTCTTCTTTTCCTCCAAACCATCCTCTGATCAACAAGTTGTGCCCCGTCCTCATTCATAATGCATGAGAAAGAGAGTCAATTAATATATCTACTCTTCTTTAAAACAGCAAAGAGTCAGCACAGAAGAGCTCTTAAGTGCTTAAGCCTGAGATCATGAGGTGCCCCAGGAGAACGTGATGGAGGCTGTGTCTGTGGAAGAGAGGCTCACACTAGTGATGTTAAATTCTTGAGAATAATCTTTTGGGAGAACGTTCTCGAGAATATTCTCGATTAATGAGAATATTAGATAATTTTCATTTAAAATAGGAGAATATTCATTTAATGCATTTAATGCTTCTAATAGGTCTAACACTTAATAACTGTTTTGGTGACTAAAACACAGCTTGATAAACAAAACTATATGCATACGTAGAAAAAAGAAGTCATTAACATTAAATATATTATCGTTATATGATAATATATTTCAGTATGTCAAATATAAATGGCACCTTGTACCAATGAATGGCACTGCAAAAATCAGTTACTGGCACTAAATAAAAATATAGAAATGTCAACTGTTTAAATCAAGGCCACTTCACATGCTGTTACATATAACTGTATAGACCTAGGTACTTTAAGTGTATAAACCATTAAAGCTACTTTCTGTTTTAAAAAAATCACACTGTATGGCCAAGGATATAGAATTGCTAAGAATAAGGTCACAGCAAAATAGAGAAAAGGCTATTACATATAGTTGAAATACATATGAATTTAAATGTTCATCAAATTAAATGCATGGCTTTAAAAAAAAAAAAAAATGTTTTCTGTAGCTCACATTTCAAAACTGCCAACGGTAAATGACACAATGCCCAGTAACGAAACTGGATCAAAAAAATCATTATTCATTACTGTTATGTACTGAAGTTCTCACCCTGGGCCAGCAGGGGGATACTGTAGATAGTTATGCAAATGAAGGATCGAAAGTGACGTTCAGTGATTGGATAGTTTGTATGCAAATGAAGGATTGAAAGTGACATTCAGTGATTGGATAGTTTTAGAAAGTTGCTACAGTTACATTGTTCTGGAGCTCTATACTGTATAAGCAGGCTGACTGAGCTCTTCAGTTCAGTTCTGTTCTGGCTTCTGAATAAACAAGAGCTGTTTGAAGAATCGCTGTGTCGTCTGATATGTTCGCCCACAACTTAACAATTACTTACACTGGTAACATCACAGCTTGACTTATTAGTTACTAGATTTTTTAAATGTGGGTTGTAAAACTGGTTCTTACATTAGAGTTTAAAGTTTGTGGAGAATATTCTCTGGAGAATTTTCTAGCAGAGAGTTTTCTCCACAAACCATAAATTCTAATGTAAGAACCAGTTTTACAACCCACAATTTAAAAATCTAGTAAATCTAACTCAGGCATAGGCAAACTTGTCCCTCCAGATGTTTTGGGACTACAATTCCCATCATCCCTGATCACTGGTCCTGTTAGCTAGGGATCATGGAAGTTGTAGTCACAAAACATCTAGAGGGCCAAGTATGCCTATGCCTGATCTAACTCAATCTGTGCAGCAGAAGAAAAGAGTGTGTGATTGAGCCACCCCAAAGGGCACTCTGAGCACATGCAGGAGGCATTCTGTGCACAACTAGGCTTTTGATTTTGCTTACCTTTGCTTTTTGCACCGCAACCATCCTCCATAGAGCTGCAGGGGCCTTTTATTCTTCTTTTAAAATTGTGTTTTAAATTGTGTTTTTACTTTTACTTTTTACTGTAAATTGTTCTGTAGCCTTTTTTGCAGCAGAGGGGGGATGAACCCAGGCAGTCCATAGCCCTGGTTAGCTCCGCATTCCAGCAGGCTACCCGGGGATCAGCTAAGAAGCCATCAACATGGGATAAAACATCCCTTACCACTCTCCAGAAGCCATTTGGATCTATTAAGTGGCAACAATGGACTATTCAAATCAATCCCACCTCCCTGTGGAGGGGAAGGGTCACAGAGAAGTCTAGTTGCACCAGGAAGTGATCTGACCATGGTACTTCTTTTGTTCCACTGGAATTTAGTGTCAGATCACCCACGTCTACAGAGGTAAACACCAGATCTAAGGCATGTTCATGGCATTCGAGTATGGCCAGAGTTATTCAGGGACAGACCCATGGAGGCCATGCTTTCCATGAAGTCCCAAGTGGCCCCTTGTAAGGTCATGTTGACATGACTGTTAAAATCCCCTAGGACCACCAGACTAAGTGGCTCCAGGAGAACATACACCATGACCTGAAGCAGCTCAGGTAGGAAATCCTTGATGAGGTCAGTACACCAATAGGAATCCAGTACTGCCCAACGTCCAGAACATGCACTCAGGAAACTGGGTCTCCCTAATAGGACGCCTGGTGCAAACTAATGACTTCCTAAAAATCCCTGCAACCCTCTCTCCCTGCCCACACGACCCGGGTTGCTGTGCATAAGAGAAGCCTGGCAGACAAGCAGCAGCAAGAACAGGCCCACCTGCCATGACCATCCAAGTATCTGTTATACATGCCTGGTCAATTCTACCATCCACAATCAGGTTATGGATGGCACTGTTCTTACTGGTCATTTACCTGGTATTACACAGCACCACCTTGAGGTCCTGTAGGCTTTGTTGATACCTGTATCCTTCTGGTCAGGACCAGACCTGGAGGCAGGGACAGCCTTAAGACAATGACTAAACTGGGCTACTTGGTAATGACGTGGTCTAGTTTTAGTGTAACTCCTCCTGCTGCCCATGATCACTGAGATTGGATGTCCCAATGCCTCCACCCTAGTGTTGGCTGGGGCTCACTCCTGGGCAGGCCTGTCTCACTCCCCCTAAAACAAATTAACTTATGCAAATTAGCTAGCTTAACTAAAATCAAATCCAGGACAAGTCATTCAGAAGGAATCATGAAATCACAGAACTGTAGAGTCAGAATGTGCCCTCAAGGGTCATCTAGTGCAACCCCTGCAATGCAGGAATCTTCATTTCAAAACCTCCAAGGAAGGAGAGTCTACTGCCTACTGAGAGAGATCGTTCCACTGTCAAACGGCTCTTACTCTCAGGAAGTTCTTCTGAATGGTTTGTCCCCTGGCATTCCACCCACAACCCAAGGGATGGCGGGGGTGGGGGGGAGGACCAGGGTGCTACGTGTTGTGTTGTAATCTGTCAAGCCCTGAATATGGAAGTCTCTCACCAAGACCCATGACCCCCAGCTGATGCCTTTGGGGTGGTGCCCTTGACCATGGAATCTTCCCGGACCAGTTCTCTGGAGAGAGGGAGAGAACTTCTGGAGATCTGATATAGGTTGCTATAGAGGGTGGGTACTTCCTAAACTCTGCTGGCTCAGTTTGAAATTGCTAAATGGTGATTTCTCACCTCCTCTAATAAAAGAGTCAACTCTGCCTCTTAGTTTTTGATTTATCACCAGAATCCTCCTGCGCCCCTGTTCACACTTCCCCCAGGAAAGTTTCAGAATTTCTACTAGCAATGAACAATGCATCTTGCATTCTCAGGATTCCTAGAGGAGAAAGTTACCTGGAGAAACCCACAAAGTGGCACAACAGGCAGAAGCCACAAGCTGCTTATCTGACTGAAAAGCAAAATAAATTATTAAATCCTTTCATGTATGGTCCTCTCCATGTTCCAAAGTACCCCCTCCCTCTCAAACACAAGTGAGAAACTTCTATTGTTGTTCAGAAATGGGGAGAATCTGCCAGGTCACTTAATGGTGATGGGCAGGGCCACCCACCTTTCCTTCTACCTTCCTTCCCCAGTCTCTCTCTCTGCCACTTCCTTTCTCCCATTCCCTGCCCTTGCCACTCCCATGATGAAGCCAGGTCCACAGCCACTCAGAATCCAAGCACTGCAGGCTGCCTGCCCATATGTGCCCCAGAACATCTACCAGACCATGTGGGATGTCACTGAAATGGGGCAGGCCTTCCCTTCAAGTCATGTTTCATCTCAAGGAGAAAGCAAACTGACTCTCATGCTGGAAATAAGATCTCACAGGTCTTCTGGGGAGAAAGGGAATGAGGCCAAAGGGGGAAAGAGCAGATGGCCAGGTCCCTTCTGGACTCTTCATGCACCATTTTCCTAGCCCTGCATTTCAAATCCTAAAATGTTTTGGCTGCTGTGCTTGTGGTAAGTTTAGACTACTCTTGCTGTTCTGTAAAGTTCTGTATCTGTATCTGTCTAATATTTCAGTAAACTAGCCAGAAACAATAATTATTTGGGTGACATGCAAATAGGATTAGTAAATTGGAGAGGCACCAAGATGGCGTCGTTAGTGGAAGCATTGACTTGAGCTCCGCAGCAGTTGTGCGGTTTTTATTAGTTTTTATTAGTTTTATCAGTTTTTATTCAGCTTTTATCAGCCTCAGTATTTTATCTACAACATTTGGCAGCTGTTCCTTAACTAATATATTCACAAAGCTTGAGTTAAAAGCTCAAGTTAAAAGTCTTAGAAAAAGTCCTGGAAAGTCTCGGGGAGTTAGCTCCAGCTCGACTCAATCTACCAACTACTTATCAGCAGGAGTGAAGATTAATTGCTCTCTTTTAGGAGGGCGCCAAGCTTTCAGATTCACAGCTGAAATTAGTAGTGGCTGCATCTCCAGGAAAATGACTAGGAAAAAGAAGCAACCAGTCTCTTCTCCACAAGTGAGCCCACAGCAGAAGTGCAAGCAGAGTAAACTGGATGATTTCGTAAGAGCACAGAATTCAGAACCTACCACATCCAACAGAGCACATTCCCAGGTAGGTGGGAACACTTTAATGGGTGGAGATCACCCGGGGGAGAATGCTGAGACGAGTGCCCATGAACTATCCAATGAACATCAGAGGGGGCACCGCTCTATGTGGAAATACTCGCGGACCATTGTTTGCTGACTGCAAGAACAGTGGAGGAAATTAATAGCAAATTAAAAAAAGTAATGTCTCTTTTGACTGAATTGGTCTTCTGGCGACCAGAAGTAGCACCCTCAATTCTAAAGAGGCCAACCACAGTGTTGCCCTCCCCCATGACCATCGTGTACAGGCGTGTAATCAGTCTGGACTTGATAACCAAGAGACTACAAATAGTAAAAATAACAACAGTGAAAGTAGGGACCTAATCCTACAAAGCACTCAAGTAGCTCTTGATATATATCCTTTCAGTGGTAAGCTGCCTTACTGGAAATCAATTGACAGCGTGAAGAGAAACTTTAAGCTTTTACTAAACATCCAGTGCGACAATTTGATCACGATAAACTTGCTTTGCATGGACCCCCAGCACACTAGACTCATGCTGACATTTTTTGACTCGGCTACTCCTAAAAAGCTCCTGAATTATAGGGCCCTCTTACAGGACTATAATATTGATTTGAGGCACGTTTTTAAAGATACGGAACGAAAACAACTACTACCAAAGTTGCCGTATAGCCGATCAGCCCCAAGAAACCAATGCCCTCTCTGCTGAAGAGATTTTGTCATAGGGCCACGATTCATTCAGAAAGGCCGTCAAAGATGGATATGTGCAGTGAACCCAGCTGTAATACTCCCTTGGAGAGGAAACCTTCAGAGCAAATAGGCCAAACACATAAAGAACGCCAGCCCAATCTAGATAAGTCAAAGATCCATCAGACCTCTGGCAGATCCTGAATTTCACCATTATTTACCCCGGCTGGAATCTGTTCAGCCAATGACAAATGACACTCCTCCCAAGGGTAACGTGACACACAGAAAGTCAGAGATAGATCTAATTGTCTTTGATGAAGCCCCCCGCCCCCAATGATCTCAGCAAATCAGCTAACACTGGCTCCAGGAGAAATTACAGGGGAGTATAATTCTAACATTGCTCCAAGTTCTAGTGAACTCACCCATCAAATTGCTAACTCGAGCACGATCAAGGAGATGACAATTGCAAGTTCAAGAAGTGATGACACCAGGGTCAACGGACTAACAACTGGCGCCCCAGAGGTAGTGGAGGAAATAAATCAGGAACCGTCTGGGGCTCCAAGTGATAGCCAACCTTCCGACATGCACCTAGATTGACTTTATGCCATGCCTGGGAACTTGGTGTAACATTCCTCTTTGAAGCTGTTATCGTGGAATGTGGCAGGGTGGTTTTCTAAGCTGTGTCTCCCTGACTCTACAAAGTTAATAAGGGCACATGATATACAGTGGTACCTCGGGTTAAGAACTTAATTCATTCTGGAGGTCCGTTATTAATCTGAAACTGTTCTTAACCTGAAGCACCACTTTAGCAAATGGGGCCTCCCGCTGCTGCTGCACCACTGCTGTGCGCTTTCTGTTCTCATCAGGAAGCAAAGTTCTTAACCCGAGGTACTATTTCTGGGTTAGCAGAGTCTGTAACCTGAAGCGTCTGTAACCCGAGG